ATAACGCTTTGTGTTCCTCAATAAACTGATGAACAGACAACTCTATGATGTAGTGGTTGTGTATATGGGAAAAGTTCTTTAGAAAGCATGTGAATACCACCCCTATGAGTCCTATACATTGAGGTTCGGATTTGATGTTTATTTTTTTTTTTTAATTTTCATTAACCACTGGTTATCTTAAACAAGCCTTTGGAAAACTCGGATCAGGTGTTAAGCGTCTTCTGTTTCATTGACGTCAACTGCCGTGTAAAATCAAGAAAGTAATGGTACGCTCGCAAATGGCGCTGACTGTTCACAGAGCGATAATCCCAACACACGAAATCTTTAAATACAGCTTTTATTCTCCATTATCGCCCGTGTCGTCCATTTGGTGGACTTAAAGCTGTATAAACATTATAAACGATATATAAATAAGAAATTTCAAACTTTGTATTTTTTCGCTTTATTTTATCTGGTATTGCATTTGGTCACGTGACCCTGTGGTAAGGAATAACCATTAACATAATGATTATAATATCTTTTATTTAGACGGGGTGATATATTTAGACAAAATCTAGTTAACAATATGGCCCTGCTGTCGAGTGTCGACATATATATGTACAAGTTTAAAAAGACAATAAAAAGTTACAAGTCAACAATTCATAGAGCAATGCACATGTAATACATATACAATGAAAAGTATCACAGACAAACAGGTACTGTTTCATATAGCCTACTGGTTGTAAAACATTTCAATGTATTTCTTCTTAAGAAAACATCATCACTGGAAGCCCTTGTGTTATCTTCACGTGGACTGTTCCATGAAACAGAAAGATCTCTTTAAAATACTTGTCTTGGCTAAAGGATCATAGAGTTTGTCATTTGTAGCTGCTCTGATAGATCTACTGGAAACATCTCTGACATAAGAAAACATACTATTTAAAATATCTGGTGACGATTCATGAATGGATTTAAAAAGATCGAGTCATTCCTGACCAACTGAGTTTTCTTCCGAGTGTCCTAGATCTTGTTTAAAGATAAACTGAGTTTTCTTCCGAGTGTCCTAGATCTTGTTTAAAGATAAACTGAGTTTTCTTCCGAGTGTCCTAGATCTTGTTTAAAGATAAACCGCCTGCTTTCTTCATGTTATTTCAAATTTAAAAAAAAAAATCCGCAAATTTAATTGGTCATGGTTGGTTTTGACTTATTAATCCGTAAAAAAACACATTAATTGGTTTGATTGATATTTGACAAGCTACGGGAAAGTCATTTACTTATTATTGTTGATATCTACATTACGAAATAAATGATCACAAACATTACTGAGAAACTGAAAAATGGAGTACAGACACTAATGACAAGATAATTTATTATCGATGACAATCGGACGGTAGCGTTTTCGTTTGAAATGTAATTGTGCCGCATCTGTCTGTAGTGTCCGGGTGGACGAAGGGAGGTAACTCCTAATACATTATAGCGTGGTCGGTCGACGACAGCTTTTAGCTGTTTCCCTCGCCCTATTGTCTATTACTTCGGAAAAGTTAGAACGATATGATTCATTGATTTATTTTATGTTCCACATATTTTGACAACTGTATTGGAAAAATATTTTGGTTTTAAATTACTTTCTAAAAGCATCACTAGAAAAAAAGTTGATTTTTCGAAATTTTGGGAATCCGATTTTCATCAATAATATATTAACTTATCTTTCGGCATCACTTTCGTGTCCAACATGTCTAGGAACGTCTAGATGCAAGTATACTGACGTCCTTACGCTTCCTCAATCAGGAGAACCCGAATGTTAAAATTTTAACATTAGTTAAGACATCCCATCCTATTAACTGTTAAATGTGGCTTCCTTCGGTATCAGGCCATTTCATGTAGGCCTAGACTACTTGGCCTTTAACCTTTTTGCTGCTCGTTATTGAACCCATTCTATTTTGCAGATGGTTTGGTGGCATCAATGTGCCGACTTCCTCCACTAAAAAATACACAGAAAAATACTTCTTATTTGATATTTAAGAGGTGAAACGACAATTTCTTAGGGACTAAAGTACGAGTAGATAGAATTGAAAAATGCAGGGCAACCCAACCGAATTAGCGCTTTCGTTATATCGTCTATTAATGTCCGAGTGTTTTGGAAAAAAGCAAGCGTCTTCAGTTAATGGATTAAAAAATATTTCGTGATGTTTTTCCGAAATGTTTAAAAAAAATTTCTCCTTGAAAAACTACCTGTTTACCAGTATACCAATACAGGTCTGATCAATACGAAAAAGAATGATATTTCAGGAATATGACAAAGTAAGAATTTATGCAAAAAAAGTGGTTTGGGACCTTTTTTATCTAAAATATGAAAATCCGCGTGTATTGGAAATAAATTAACAACTAACATGAAACAAGTGAAAGACGTGTTGGCTTGGTGGTTTCCATGGGAAATACGCTGGAATTCCATTATGATTAGCTTGAACACAATATTTCATGTTAGTTGGATCTGGAAAGAGTTCAAATGGTAAAACTCAATATTTGCCATAGCTTTAAGGCTTAAAAAACGTTATAATAGATAATTTCTTGATTTGCGTCAAGTATCTTGAATTTTTATAATTAAATTTGAATATAAATTCAAAGAAAGTGATCAATTGATTTTATCGAAGACTTCCGGGTAAGCTGGTTCCCGGGCAAGCGCAGTTTGCCAGTAGGCCACTTCCTGTTATATTGGCTATAATACACGTGTCATTCATTTTATCATTATGTTTTTGCTTCGTATGCGAGTAAGGCAGTCCGTCTGTCTAAATGGATATCTGGTTATGCATGTGTTCGTTCATATTTTACTATGCTCGAACCAGATATTATACAACCTAAAACTTCAACAAGAATGCATATAACGATCTATTTTCTTCCACATTTTTCCTACGTTTCAATACGTTGAGGAAATTCGTTGCTATGACTCCGCAGCTCTTCGTCGGCGTATTTAGGTGACCTATCCCCAACATAAACTATTTTCAGCATTAATCATTTATCTTATTCATTTATATACGGATGCTATTTATTGAAGGTTATTATATACGTAATGAATGACATAGTAAATATATTTCTCCCGTTTGTAATTATAATATTGCTTCCTTATGTAAACAAGGTTGTATATATCATAGTTAAGTAAATTAAACCTTTTGTATATCTTACCATTGCCATGAGTAAATGTTTATTTGAACTCTGTATTATTGTTAACTTGCCTATCTAAAGATTGATCTATTAAGAAAATAAACTAGCTATTGTTAGTCCAAAGAACTGTCGCCCAACTTTATGGGTTGTATTCCGCGATGTTCATTTAATCAGTATTAACAATTTTGAAGATTGCCTTAAATGTCTACATCAAACCATTACCGTACTGATACCGAGAGTTATCCTCAATATGATTGTTCTAACCAAGAGCATGGACTTATCTTGTACACTCGGAAAAGTAGAGTTTCTTGCTTTCCAAATCAAAAATATTTCATTGCGAAGCAAGTTTTCCAACTTATATTAATCAATCTTGTTGACCCGGATGGAAACGCGCGAGGGGTCTTTGTGTGGGAGGAAACCGGAGTACCCGGGGAAAACTCACGTGGTCGGGCAGGTGACCTCATACCTTTTCACTTCCATTCCGGGAATCGAACTCCGGACGGCTAGGTTAAAGGCGAGTGTTACCACTGCGCCACCCGACCATGAAATATTAGTGTCAGTATCACATGAATTGTTCGATAGAACACTTCAAGTCATCATAATTCGACATTAAATGCATGGGTTCTGTAAGGTATAGTTTTTTTAAAACGAATTCCCAACATCTTACAAGGGTGTTTCCTTTTTCATCAATACTACAGTAGGATCCCTTATCGGTGACTTGTCCGAAAAAAACTACTGGAAACTTTTACAAATTAGGAAAACCTCGAGGTAGCAATGAACAAAGATGGCCAGCTTTAAACATTTCAGCATTACGGAAATTTGAAAACAATTTTGATAATAATGCATTATCGAAAGTGTAGTTTTTATCTGAGTCTTAAACAGCCAGGATCAGTCATAGACGTAACATGTTTGGGTGGTAAAATAAAGCCAGATTTCCCTTTGACCGAAACTTTTTGTTTCTAAAATAATCATTTAGTGCAGATTTTCTCATTCAATATGCTGTTATTGATATTTCCATATTTACTGATTATGCCCAATGGATCGACAGAAAGGACCTTGTGCTCATAAAACTGGAAGAAACGTAGACAACATGGATGCGGCGAATTAAACAATTATTTCCGCAATTTATCCATTTTCATTTCGATATGGATATTTGTTTATTTAATGTTGTTTACTTGTTTGTTTAGATTTACAACGCTAAATTCCTCCCATCTGCCAATACTATATTGATAACGAGAAAACCAATTGTCACACTTTTATTAGACTTATAGAAGGAAGTAGTAACTACCATTTTCATAGACTCTGGTATGTCTCGGCAAAGGGTCATAGCCTTAAGATGTCACGTTCATCGGTATTGTAACGGTTTACTGTCTGTGGTCCACCGTTGTCCTTCCGGGTTCTGGCGTACAAAGGCGTTCGAACCTCCAGGAGTAAATGTTCTGACAAATAAACCAACGCTATCTCTGACAGTTTCCACAGTTTATTTGCAAAACAGATAAAAGACCAGTAGCAACAGGGCAGTGCGTCCTATTATGTGGGCACCCAAAGATATCTATGTAGTTAGTCACTCGGTGCCGTGAGGATAGCAACGCAGAGGCTCCGGCGTTCCCAAACGCCGCTACGGCGTACCGGGCGACAACCCGTGCGCCCGCCGACGTCAGCCTCTGCCGTTCCGGTCCACTGGTCCCCTCACGTCACCGGGTGCTCACCTGTCATTGCTCTCACCTGTGTGTTCTTCGCTGGACAGCTCTCCCAGAGCTTGAAACCAGGTACAGTCAGCGGTATGTATACACCTGAGTGAGCCCACATGTCGTTGTATAATTAGATCGTATGTGTTAAGTACGATTCTTCATGGAAAAACAATGTCGCGTAGCAACTGGTTGCGTTTATATCGTGTTAGAATATTACTTGTTTGTTTAGCTTTGCTGTGTCTGTACTATGGTTTACGAATCAACGAGGAAACCGACATGATCAAATTACTCGGAATGAACTCTTACTGGTAAGTAAACAAATGCATCATGCTTGTTATGTCACTTAGAATAATATCTTCTTCATTCACGAGAGGAACGTTGTTTAGAGACATGAACATTCTTTCGAACTCATTTTCTTTGAATCGATATTTTACGAGAGTTCCATTCCATGTTTTTTCCACAAATAAAGAAAACAACAAAATTTGATAATATGGCCAAAAGGTCGGGCTTTTGAAAAGTCCTCATTCAGCGATTCCACTTTGACCACACCTGTGTTTCAATGTTATAGTTTAAGTGAAAATGGAGTTTTCCTTCCTAACATCGCTGGGGGGAAAATATATCGAAATGTTCTAGTTTCATTAAACACGATAGGAAAACTGTCGGGTACATTTTCATGAAGGACTTTACACGAATGAGACGATTTATTATTATTTTGTTTGACTGTTCTTTTTTAAACACTGTATTATTTCCTCTATGTAAAATTCCTGTAAACAAAATAACAAAGGATACTGTTGACATATGATGCCTTCGGTATCGTATCTCTCACATCTAGAAATATTTTCTTTTGAGGCCTGACCTACTTGTAGTAATTTCCATTAAAATATTCAACCGGTTGGAAAGGACTAGTGTACACAAACCCTAATAATCTTAATATATTCACATCGATGATCGACGATATTATTTTATGAAAACTTTCTCTTTATCTCGTCCATCAAATACGACTTCTGAACTGTCTGAAGTGGTGGTGATCTTTGAGAGTTTTTGTGAATGCACTGCTTAAATCCTAGTCAAAATTCCTATCTTTTTTATTGACTGCACCCTCTCATTGGCGTTGTCACGCAAACCTCCGCTAGCTTCGCTGCATAAGGGATTGGTATCTTACATGTGAGCATAAATAGTAGTAAAACAGCTTGATAACATCTACCAGAACACTACACCTGAGTGATCACCTCGTCCCACTTCAGCAAGATATGATTTTAGGTGAAAGGGCGTGGCATTTAAAATAAAGTTATCTAATATTTCATCGAGTAAAAACCATCATTGGTTGAAGAAATTTTCGGGAACTTAACCTCACCTAGTGTTTCTTGACATTTTCAATAAATGTGAAAAATACATACAAGTCTTCTGACTGTTTGATGAACTAATGACCCTCGTAATCAGGTTTTTTTTCAATTAACTTTGCTATATAAATTTACACGTTCCTTTATCGGATGGTCTTTTAACAGCTTTTTTTTTTTTACATAAAAGTGTGTTTTTAAGGTTGATACGCAATTACAGTAAATTAATACTCATCATTTTACAGGTGGTTTTCTGGGTCCCCCACTCCATATAACATACTTCTTATTGGATATTTAAGAGGTGGAACAACATTTGTAGGTGAAATTCTTGGGCTTCGGAATGACTCCTTTTACGTTTATGAACCACTTCACAAGATGTCAATGTTACACTACTTCAAACCAGGCTATATGTGCAGTATGGAGGACGCGTCTTGCAGGTTTGTAGAAATCCTATAGTTGTCACAATGTTCTTAATAGGGAATTGTATGTCCTTGTGCGATATGAAATTAGACGTTCTTGATGCTCTTTAGCATTTCGGAAGATTCCTTTGTTATTCACCTTGGTCTCATTTGGGAATGTGACATTTCTCGGACTGAAAAAAAAATCACGTATAAGGAAGCGTCGATGAATCGTTTGTCCTATTCATAGTCACACCGAATTTGAGTTTGAATGAAGCTTCTGCTGACAATACGATGGACTGCTATCTTCGTTCGGCCATCGTCCCAATAGCGATTTGTACGGTCGACTTATGGTTCGCCCTGCGGAATTCGTATGAAAACTTCGGTTGCCACGTTAAAAGTAGTTCGGTTTGATATTAGTCGAAGAGACGTAACGCTGTGCCCTCTTCAGTATGTGACAATCTGGATATAGTAGTCAGTATTGGTGATAAGAAGATGGACCTGTATTCCCTGATATTTGGATAAATGTATTTTAAAAAAGGACACTGTATGAACGGAAATTCTAGATACTATCCCGTTCCAGCGGTGGGCTGGATGCGGGACCTGGACATATGACCATTCAAATATTACGTAAAAAGCCTCGAAAATGTAAACGATACAATATGTATGGATAGTATCGTCTGAGGCGATCATGGCTCATTTGTATTTCGTTTTTGTGTTTCTTAGACGCCCGCCGAATGATTATAATCACGATACAATCGATAATTAGACATATTTAATAATTTTGATAGTGTCGATAACATCTTGTCGTAGCATTGTTTTAATCATTCTTTCTCGCCACAGTATGATGGTTTACTTTAACATTTGTTCTCATTTGGTATTTGCTTGATAACCTATAGCTCAGGTCGAAATACAAGTAAAAAATCTAATTTTCTTTTATGCTGCTTCCGCAGGATTGCAAACGGGACTGATAACAAGGCATTGGATGTTTTACGAGCGGTATATAATTGTGACGCTCGACATTACCAGGACCAGCTCAGAACCTGGCAACATATGAAATCTCGAGGCATACTATCAATAAATGATCGGAGATGGAAGCTTGCCTTTCCAGAATGTAATGGAAATTGGAAAGGTTGCCCGGAAAAATATGAACGGCATTGTTCAATGCGTAGTTCAATTGTTATAAAAGAGCCAAGGTTAAGTATCAGTTTCGCCTCAAACCTTCTGGATACATTCTCAAACTTAAAAATAATTTATCTCTTAAGGGATCCAAGAGCCATTATGAACTCAAGGGCGCAGCTTAATTGGGGTTTTGGTGCCATCTCTTTGTGTAACAAAATGACTTATGATTACATTGAATCAGGAAAATTGAAAGAAGTTCATCCAGGAAGAATTTACACCGTATTTTACGAGGATATTACAACAAATCCAATAGAAACAGTCAGGAAAATCTATGATTTTGCTGGTTACGATTATAACGCATATGAACAACTCCGCCTAACAAAGATGACTTCCTCTTCTGAAAAAGGGGAGGCTGGTAACACAAATCGTCGAAATTCGACGGAAACTGCTTTTGCTTGGCGAAATAAAATAAAAGAGAATGTCCTAAAAGAAACTGACAAAGCTTGTTCACACTTGTATTCAGAAATAGGATATCCACAAATAGCACTTTAAACGAAGAATATTACTTCAAACACCAATTCGATGAAGCTATTACAAAATAAGAACAAAATGATTATGAACAAGGAAACTCATGAAAATAAAAAGGTTCGGAAGAAAATGTGATTGACGGTAAGTCTTCCGCTTCATCGGCGACACCTGCTTTGTAAATATTTGTGAATCCAATTAAATATTGCTACGTTTCCAAATGACAAAGTCATGAACACAGAACTGTCAGGCACATTCACGACCAGCAAAGAAATAGTACATCATCAACAGAAATCATTATGATGGAAATTAAATCTCCCCAAAAGCTTGAACAGCCTATATCTCTCAACACCTTCATAGTGCAAACAAATCGTCATATTTGGAACAATCCCTAGAATGTCGAACCAATTGCTACAGGTAAATACAAAGGTTGTTGATGCAGGATGGTTACTATCCAGAATGGAAAAATGTAGTTTTGTAAATAAAATCCAGAAAATAACTATATATTGTCGATTGTCATCTTTAACTATCAGGATACATCAACAACAAGATAAATTGACCTATGTGACTTGTTGATGTATGCTTTAGAACCAGGTTTCAAGTTTGCAGAAAATATTTTTTAAATCGGCAATGTCTTCTTTGTAAGCTGTAGTGTAGTTAGGCAATATAGGCCTATTTACTTTGATCCGCCACTTGCAAACTTGAAACCTGGTTCTAAAGCATACTACTACAAAAATACCATAACTCCGCACCTATTACTTGTTGATATAAGATATCTTAGGGTATAAACATCTTTCACATAAGGGACCTTGAAAGTAGGTCAATAAATTTGACAGCCCTTCTTACAATTAAACATGTATGTTAATATCAACAGTCTGGACCTTTTGGTTATTGAGAAGAAATTTTTTTGGTAGATTTTAACACATTTGATCCATGTGGCCTTGAAAAATGTCAAGGTCATTCATTTTAACAGACTTGATAGCCCTTCCTGTCCGCATGCAACATACCAAATACATGATCACTGAGTCTTTTGGTTATTTAGAAGAAGTGATTTGAATTGAAAATCTATGCAATGACCATGGCAGATTTCACACAACAATGGACGAAACACAATGACTATAGGTCATCTTGACCATTTGGGTCAGAAGACCTAAAAATGAAAACTATGAAGAAGACAGAATGTTAAGTGTAAAATTCTTTATTAAGTTACATGTATGATACACATATAGCAGATGGTCATTTGTGCCACTTCAGAATTAACATAAACTAAAATAAAGACTTATTTTACAGAAATATAGAGGCAAATTGCATCTACTAGGACACGTCAGTATGTGTCAGGGAGGGCCTCACAATGACTCCAAACCTGAGCTTGAAAGAAAATTACATTAACTAAGTATTACAGCTTGAAAAATACAAAACATATCTCATAAGCTATTAACGTTCCATACCAACTTTTATGTAAAATACAACAGTTTAATGACACTTCAGTTGTGTGAATGAAGTAGTGTGTTTGTGATGGGTTACTCTCTATCTTGTCACCTTTAATATCCTCTTGCTGAATAATGAATCATTATGAATAATAGATATGTTTACCAGTTTAGAAACTTCATATTGAAATTGACATCTTGGTAACCATGTTCTTGTTTCATTTTGATCATTCACGCATATAATGCTATAACAAAGTATTAATATTTATGGGTGAAATATTTCATAACTGAGCCCGACATTCAACCCCGTAACGTCGACATTTCATCAAATAGCTTCTCATTGGAAAGCTTTGCTTCTGATTCTATACGGAAACAGAAAAATAATAAAATGTTGCAGTACAACTAATAACTAATCCCAGGTGAATGGAAGACATCCAGGGTCCTGACGGATGGAGCCATAGGGGCCAACTGACTGAAAGTTTTCTTTAAATACTTTTATAAATCAATCTGGCAATATTTCCTGGGAAGATATAAATCAAACTTAATATACTTAGTAACTCAGGCCACAATTAAGGTCATTAGGGTTCTTGTCTTATCAGTCTTCTCATTTCAAGCATGCTCTTTTTTCATTATTTATTACTGTTGTGTACTAAATTATCTTCCGTTAATTACATGCAGAAATCAGAGCCACAGAAATGTGTATCCATAGTGCTAACACGTATAACACTACAGAACAATATACCTTAACCCCATGCCAAAGGAATCGTCAAGATTTGTTGTACTGACAAGAATAAGAAATGGAAATGTTGAAAATGTGGCAAAATGTTTCGAGAGAAAGGTGCTATATGCTTTAATGATAAATTAAATCATATCCAGTTTTAAAGACATTGTTGCTAAACTGTAAGAGATCTTAACATATATTATTGTAATATGATTACAAAAGGATAGTTATTATAACTTCTAATCACCTTTCACATTATGCTTTACATAATATTGATAAATACAATACAATAACCATACATGTTATTTTTACAACAAACACGTGTAAGATTGGTAAGAGAAAGAGGAAGCCTTGTGATGAATGTTCAGTATGTCTGACCTTGTGATCTTAATTTGATAACTGGTAATTTCTCAATTATGACCATGCAATTTTTTATAATGCTAAGGAAAATATTTGTAATAAAAAAAATCTAATTTGACCCTGACATTTAAGTTGAACTTGAACTTGGGCGGGTGACATCTCATTTGATTTCAGTCAATATTATCATTATGTCATAAGTAAACATTAACAGGTTAACGTTCAGATGACATATATTTGTGCTGTATATTTCCATTTATGCAATGCGGACCATGACCTTTGACTATAATTAAAAAATAATTGGAGATTAATCAAGCAAGTATATAATTGAAGTTGTTTTGTAGCAAAAAATGCTTTCTGCTTTCTTTGACATGAAGACCCCAAACTCTCACCAAAGCACTTTCTTTGAAGAATGACCGATTGCTGGCCTTGGCGAAAAAAATATGTAAGGGGAGATACAAAAAATCACCAAATAAACCAACATGACAACATAACCACAATTCAATCTCAAATTACATAAAAATAGGGCAAAATATGAACAAGAGAAAGATTTACACAAAGAACAAAGATGATAAGACCAGGTATTCCGGAAGAGTAAGTGTCTTTTGCGTCATTGAAGACACGCGCCATGTAAACATTGGTCAATGCAAGTAGGTAATGTCACGTTCTCAAATGAGAACAACGGAACCAACAGGCAAACTAACGAGCATCAAATATATCCAGCTTCATGTCGCACAAATAAATATAATATTTCTTCATGATCGCTATGGCGACCATAAACTTTCCCATAATTTTTCATCTACCTGTATGTTTTAAACTCGTTTGATAGGAGTCAGTTGACGTCTTCTGGAACGAAAATCGTGATAATAGGAACAGGCCCTTGAATATCGAATCAACAGTGATATGTAAATACCATAGGTTGGAGATGCAGGAATATTGCTAGCAGAAATGGCAAATTCACAAAAGGGAAATTGAAATCATCACGTTTATCATACAGGTTGATTGAAAGCTGTCCATGTTGGTTTCGTTGCAGGAAAACATCGAGATAAGCAGCTGATGTAGAAGAGTATGTCTTATCTTTGATTTCCAGTCCTGATTGACATATACGATGGTCGTAGTCAATAAATTTCTTGTTATTTAAAACCAAGACGTCATCAATATATATGAAATTAGTTGTAATTAAACTATTTGCAAGGCCTTTGTGACATAAGCTCTTCAATAAATTCAGACTCGCAAGAAAACAAAAACAAGTCAGCCAACAAAGGGGCTCAGCTGGTTCCCATAGGTATGTTAATAGTCTGTTGGAATATCTTACCGCCAAACCCGAAGAAGATGTTGTCAACCAAAAACTCCCCGTGTATTTCTTCTTTGATTTGGACGTACATTTTACGAAATACTCTTCAGTCTAGATCAAAACCATATATTTATACCGCCGTTCAACTTTCCTGGAGAATAAAGCTCTCATACCAAAAGAATGAAGATGTTCCTTCAGTTTAGAATTGGGTATGGTAGTTTACAGGGTGGAAAAATCAAATGTTCTTATAGAGGACATGTTTTTGTTTTTGTGTTGAAAATTGGCCAAAACCTATTTGGAGATCTTAAAGATCCACATACTATTAATTCTACTTATTTTGTAAACAGTATCATAATAAGACGGTAACCCAGTTTTGGTAGTACTTAGAATGGTGGTTTGTATGTAAGACAAAGGTTTGGTTGAACAGATAAACAAGCCAGCTATAAAACGTTGTTTATATGGATTCATTTGAAGTTTAGGGATCCCGTATAAACGGGGGAGGTCCGTATCCTTATCATTAATAGGTAATCTAAATTGATTGTAATACTGAAGCATGATCAGCAAGTATTTCACCTTTTGAAAGACTGCATTATGTATTGGAGGGGTTTCATTCGTTTTTAAGCAAGCCTAGTTCTTGTATACAGGAGATGTAATGTTTGCAGACAGGAATCACCGTATTTGACACCTTTTCTGCAGACACAAGAACATACCTGTCATGTAAATTATGAAGTGGGGATTTCAAATCAGAATCGAGGAAAGCTGACCTATATTGTGCTTTCATTTTCGATTTCAAGCTGTAAAGTCTTTTACGAATGATGGACCGATTTGACTTAATCTTTGAAAGTATGGTGGATGGTTAGCCTGTACAGACTTCTCGTTTTAAATATTGCTGATGTTTATAGCATCCACGCCCTTATATACAAACTCAACAGTCTTAAATTGGCGCGTTGTTGGAGGATCGCGGCCACTTGTACAGACAAGTTTAAAGAGCCTGATTTGTGCCACATCATCAATAATTTTATGAAGTCTCCAAGCTAGTTTCCACAGGTCACCAGATGTAGTATTAGCTGGATCCACTTGAAGCTTTCGTAGAACTGAGATAGGAAGCAAATATAACGCAGTTCGAATATGATGGACACCAAATGATTTCTGTAAAGTATCCATTAGATTTTCAAACGTGGCCATACAATGCCTATGTCCGTGGCTACGATTAAGTCTAGTTTGAGGGGGGGGGGGGAATAAAGTCATAACGTTAGTGTTACTGCATCCAGAATTGGACAAATTACCTGCACGCGGTCAATGTTGTCATATGTCACAGCAGTGCCAAGCCGTCTAATATAGTGTTCCTCACGTTGTCTACGGAAGGGGGTGCTCAGTGCGGGCTTGGGGTAAATGTCAGCTTGTTCTTACGGGATCATTTTTACGATGGTATTTTTTTCATAATACGGACATTCATCGACATTATGAAATACTCTGATATTTTTTGTTTTGATAAATGTACAAATATCAATAGCAATATAGAATTAGTTCGATTGTATGCAAATAACGTATGGCATTTTAAAAGCAGGTCAACTTCGTGTAGCTAGCATATATTGGTTCGTGGTTATACAATTAGGACTAATTATAAAAAAAAAACACTCTCTTCTCAAAATAAGTAATTAAAGTGATTCAAAATACTGTTTCAGCATTTATAATTTTGAATGTTATTTCTGGTGGCTAGCTATGAACTTTGATAACAACCAAATTTCAATCGAAATAAATTCTGATAAGCTTTTGATTCTTAACATTTTTTAAGTGTTTCATCAATTTGTTCCGTCTGTATATATGTAGTAAAATTGTTTTTTGCTCATTGAAAATTTCCTATCATCAGTATAAGCCTGAAAATAGCTTTCGAAAACTAACAGTATTAACATTAGTTGCTGACAGTCTGACATATTTCAAAACCTACCACAAACATTTTTTGGCAATTTTCTAGGAAGGACTGCAATAGTAATATTCCTTCTATTTCTGGTCGGTATCATTTTTCTACATTCATTTATTATATTACTTTCTTGTGAACCTTTCGTATATATATTGCCTTTCAGATAAAGGTAGTGATAATTAGTATACAAATGCTTACATAAACACATAAAAGTGATTACCTTAAAAGGCATATAGTATGTAAACATGGTCTCCATTTGAGAACTAAATTGCCATATATATATGGTTCAGGTGTTGACCTTAATGATATTTGTCGTGTGGGAAACTTGTGACTGTCGTGCCGTGTGGATAACGAACTATGAACTTTGAACTTTCGTGTTGGAGTGAGTGTGAATGTGTCTTAATGTGAAATTTATATGTATCTGTATATAATATATGTAGTAAATAGTTTCATGAAAAACCGTTTGTTGCCTTCAATCCCAAACACCCTGCGTTACATATATGATAAATGCAATTACTGCAGCAGTAACTTTTCTTTCTAATAAATCAATATCGGAAGAAATAGTATGAGGTAATTCCTATCGCTCATTTCAGTGAGAGCGTCTAATTCCAGTGATACAAATCCGTTTGTTTAAATAGAACATAAAGAAACACAGACAGGAAAAGAAAGGAACATTGCTAGTACAATCATTATTATGTTTAACTAACAAGTGTTTTAACCAACCGATGAATGCGCAAACCTCTTAATCAAAGATGACATTATGATAAAAGGGCGGTCTCATTAGCTGAATAGCTACCAAATGACCGGAGATATAGTGCCAAATTAGACCTATAGACTTAGCTTACCTTAAATCTTCAATGTGTGGTACCGCTTGATGAACACATCGACATGGCTAATCTGCCACACATTCGATATTCAAACAAATGCAACCTTTACCATTTTCAACAGCGCTTGTCTCCCACAAAGACCATTAACCCAGAAGAATTTGAGAACCTACGTTGTTTAAGATCAGCGCGAATGTCGTTCGTTGCATTCGGAATACTGTAGTTCGGAGACAAATATGTTTCGGGACTATTCCATATATTTTTGTACATGATTTCAATTAGCTTTCCAACGCTTGTAAACATAAAATCATGCAAAACATTTAAAAATAAACTGAATGGATAATAATGTGATCACTATTTGTGTTGGGTCGCTCTTATCTATTTCTAATCTCTTTGACGCTGTTAAAATATTATAATTAACAGAAAGTACACAATTTTAGCAAATATTTAAATGTTATGAAATTAATTTCTAACCATTTAGTCCCTTTAATAAAAAAAAACAACTCTACTACACTACATACTAAGTTTCAGTAAAGTAAACCAGATGAGCGATGCTGGACATGTGCGATTCTTGTTCTATGTTTCACTGGTGACCTAGGCGGTACATTCGTGATACGAATAGCTGATACACATATACCCGTATTCAGGTATTTTTTGTTGCCCAGTACACAGCACTTGCCGCTCTCTGAAATAAGAATTAAGCACTGGGTGGGCTGATTACAGCAAGGTCCGGTTGTATTTCAAAAACTGTTGAATTCAAAACGACCTTTATTTCTGTCGATCAACATTTATCTCTTTTTTTCAATATTCAACAATATTCCACATATATACAGTTGTACATTACACATGGCATGGGGAAACAAGCTGAGACATTATGCATGCATCATTTACTCCAAATTGAGCAGTCAACAGCCATACTTAATATATTAGTCTTTTTCTTAGGATCTGGTGTCAGAAATAATTTATTTTTGTGAAATATAAGGCCATTCGAAAGTCATCATAATTTATCTGTACATGTTTATGCTCCACCCATGGGAATTTGACATTTAATTTGATGATGAAGAAACGATCTAAAAAGGCAATAAATCAATGATAAATTTATAATGCTATTATTGATATTATTATAAACAAATATTGGATGGTATAGACTTTGATGTATTAAGTCTTCGTACTTTACATTCAGTTAAATATAAACATACACACAATGAAACATCAACTTACTCACACACAGTACACAAATATACACATACACACATATCCACATCATTGTATTTATTTTATACAATGTCATGATATATCTATAGCATGGTGAAGTGATTAGAATATTTACATTTCTTAGATTTTTTTTCATAACCAAGCTTCCATTATAGGAGTGTTCTATGATACAGCTCACTGTCTCAGCAAATATAACCAACACAGTGATGATGATCAGTTTGTGATAACACAATTGTATGAAATTGATATCTCATCGCACAAAGATACGTCCGACCAAAGTGGGACAGAATCCTAACAGCGACCCATTTTTTATACAAAAATAAATCCTCATTATCAAAGAATGCTTCACACTACATTTGGACCAGGTCTTTTTATTCCTATAGGAGAAGGATTTTAAGTAATAATTTATTCGATTTACCCAAATGGACCCCGCTTCTCAGACCCCGAGGGCAAATAATCACACTTTACGCACATTTTACTACCCAAAAGGATGCTTCTCACAAAATGTAGTCAATCGTTCATGATTATTAGTGATTTTAAGAAAAAGTCCATGAAGGGACGACCAAGGCTGCGTTATTCTATAAGCTCACTTTGCCTTTCCGGACGGATGAACTACATTCCTAAAATATCAATTCAACGCCGAAAGTGTATACAAACACCTGGATTTTCACCTGTAAAGGAACAAATGTTACAAAAATATCTAAGTACCACAGAAAATGTGAGGAAGATGGCCTCGATGAAAGAGAGAAGAAAATATCTTAAACGTGCCTAACTGTTCCGTAAGGGAGACAACAGGTACAATTCCTGTTTGACCTATCACTCGGTAATATATTTATTTGCTAGAGTATCTGAAGCTAAAATATCACCTTACATTTGCTTTTACAAATGTGTATGAAAAAGTGTAGAATATTTTTTATGCAGGAACTAGTTTGAATTTATGCAGAAAGTCTTACCCGTCACTGCCTTAATGGATAGAGCGATGACTACAATGTTAAGAGGTGCCGTTCGTTACGTTTCAGTGGCTATCTTGAATGAATAGTGAATACGTGTAGTTTTAAATAACAATGACTACAGACATAATTGTATAGCCTGTGTCTGATACAGGATAAAGGGTACGCCTTGTGATCACTGTGTGTTTACGCCAGTTGAGGATTGTTTACCAAGCAGTTTGCTAGTGTTATAGGAAAGCTGTATGATGGCCTCGTATGCCCAAATAATTTTCACAATATTCCTCACCCAATGTTGTGACACAGGCGGTAAGTAAAACTTTAAATCATCTTAAATTCCATGTAATGATCCACGGGAGACCACTTCCACTTGATGGTTTACTCAACTGGCAACACATGTATCCACGTTTTGTTGAATTATACAGAGTTGGCATAACTACTTAGTAAGGCGGTCTTTTATCGTTTAGTTGTAGTGTGGACACTGCCTAGCAATCGTATCGACATATTTATTGTATCTATTATTCCGACATAACCAGGTTGTCACTTTTTTCATCTTTCTTTAAATTTATGTCTCTCTTTGATTTGCATTGCTTTACACGGCCAGGTTCATCTAAAGACGGTCTCCAGGTGTATACGAGCGTTAAATATGTGTCATTTTAGCAGAACTGGAAGATGAAGGTAGAAATTTCATGATAATTTAAAAACAGATCCGCAATCAATACTGGATGCAACGGCTTTGCTTTCTTGTCCCCACTAAGGATAATGCTGCATATAACATTAGATTAAAATGATGTGAATCAGGTATATTTTTTTAATTCATGATATGACACACAGTGAGCAATTCGTAGGGAATAATTTGCTACGATAATCGAGCACCTCTCTTGTATATTTCCACAGAAACAACCATTCCAACGACCACAGACTCATCGTTCGCAATACGCCTTGAAAACGGTCTCTACAACAACAGCGGTCGAGTTGGGGTGTACCACGACGGACAGTGGGGTGGAATATGTGACGGTTCCTGGTCTTATAACGACGCAAACGTAGCATGCAGAATGTTGGGATATACGTAAGTATGGTTCCAGCCTTAAATACAGGAACATAGTTCGGTAAAACACGAACAAATTATGGACGAAATACACGTGTATTAATTGAAAATTCAGATAAAAACGGAAAATAGGACGAGATGCTCAAGGTTGTAATGGTTTTTGTCTACATTGCATTAAGAACTCCGTATTAAATGGTGTGAAAGAAGGATTTGTTCAAACCATGCTCTTTTGAAAGAAATAATTACATCCTTGTTTAATTAGGCCAATACATGTAAATTATTTCACAGAGAAATGTGACTTACACAAAGTCATATTGTAAAAACTCGTCATGCAGCTACAAACTGTCGGTATGTGGTTTGGTTTAATTCTGTTTTCCGTCCTATCAACAATTATGAACAAAGTCTGATCTTTAAGCATTATTTCTGGTCTTGAAGCATTTTAAGCTACGAGAGCTTTTCATGACGGGTCCTGAATATGTGAAACCTCTTCCGTTAATTGTATGGTGATTTGCAAGATACTCATGTATTCTGTTGAAAACTGTGCCAGAGAACGAGCGAAACGAAAACATGCTGCGTTGGATTAATTTTCTGAGTGGGTAAAGTCCATTCGGTCGATCATTCGTAACAGAATAAGCAGCTTGAAGACAAAACAAAACAAAGGTCACCTTTCCTCGATTCTGATATGCATTCCACACTTAAAGATTTACATGACAGGTATGTTATTTTGCCTGCAGATAAGGCAGATTAATCAATCCTTGTCTGAAAAAATTATTACATTTCCTGTATACAAAAAGAACTGGGCTTGCTCGACAACGAAGGAACCCACCTAAATAGTATGCAATCTTGCAAAAGACGAAATACTAGCTAATCATGCTTCTGTATTACAATTATTAAGATTGCCTATTAATGATAAGGATACAGACCCCCACCGTTTATACTGGATCCTTAAACTTCACCAGAATCCATATGAAAACGTTTTAAAGCTGGCTCGTCTAACTGTTTAACCAAACCTTTGTCTAAACTACTATATGTAACCACCATTCTAAGTACTATCAAATCTGGGTACTGTTTTATTGTGATACTGTTTACGCAAGCAGAACATTTAATAGTATGTGGGTTTCGAAGAACTCCAAAGAACATCTGACCAATCCCCAACTCCCTATTCCAAAAACAATTTTTTATTCATACGAGGCTAGATTTATTAAAGAGCTTATCAATACAGGTGAGAAATCACAGTTGCATCGATATTCAAAGGCCTGTTCCCATTATCACGATTTAAGTGCAAGATGTCGTCAACTGACTGACAAAGTCGTAACACAAGGGTACAAAAGAAACAAGTCGATGAAAATTAATGGCAAGTTTTTATGGTCGCCATAGTGATCTAATTGAGAAATATTATATTTTTTTGTGGACATGAAGCTGGACGTGGTTGATCCTGTTGGTTCCGTTTTTGTATATATTGTTCTCATTTGAAAACGTCACATTGCTAACTTAGATTGACCAAGGTTTACACAGCGGGTGTGGTCGATGAAACAAGAAATGCTTACACCTCCGGAACACCTGGACTTATTCTCCTTGTACTTTTCTTCGGAGGTCCCTATAAACTTTCAAAGTTGATAATGTTTGGACAAAAATCGTCCCAGGTTAATATGAACTCCCATCATCGCCCTTTCCCAGCACTGTTTGCCGGCACGCGGTGATCAGTAATTGATTGCGTGATATCTAGGTAGTATTCAGTGTTTTTTCAAGTGGACCGCTCCTGTGGTTGACACCTTTTATCGAGACGTGACTCGAATCAATCAGCTATATGAATTCTGGTTGTAGTATTCGAAATGTTTATTGCACTTTCTGGAACTTAATATGATATACAAAACACGTATTTCTGTAATATTGTACATTGCACTTCATAACACAGTTTTCACATCTCGAATTTCACAAATTATCTTAATTTGAAAAAATGTTATATCTTGTTTATTAGTTATCTTGTGTTTATGTTGAATGTCGTATAAAGTTATACTGTTTTTGACCGGAATAAATCCTTGTTAAATGAGTAAACAGAATACGTTGTTTTACAGTAACGGCTCGATTACCAGTAACCTCTATACAGTTGACTCAGTCTGGTACCAATGGTTTGGTAACGAGACGGATCCAGACCTTGTCTGGATGGATCGTGTACGGTGTACTGGAACAGAGACCAGCCTAGCTGACTGCCCGTTTGATGGATGGGGAATAGGAAATTGTGGCGATGGTTCCTGGTCTCGTTTTGCATATGTATTCTGTTATAATGAAGGTAATTAACATAATGTATTTGCACGACCTCTTAACATCGTTGGCGCTAAACTATTTCTAGTTTATTGTATATACTTGTTTGATTTTGCATATATACAGCCCTCGCTTTGATTGAAAACACTGACATGTTTTGCGCGGATTTCTGGTTGACAAGCAGGAAGGAACTTATGCATGTTTTACCATTCTGAATAAATACGTATTCAAATTATCGCTCCGATACTCTCCGCTCGCACACTATATGAGTGAGAATATCATTCAGCATTTCGATTAGATCGTTTTTTGACGTGCTACATTTTAATGACAAGAGAAAGACTTGATAACAAGTATATTATAAAACTGTTTATTCAGACAATTCCTCTATGGAAGTTCGATTGGTAAATGGTAGATCAGATGGGTACGGACTTGTCGAAGTACATTACAGCAGCTACTGGGGAGGTATACATTATGACGGCTTTTTCAGCAATGAGGCCAAAGTTGTGTGCAGGACGCTTGGTTACAGGTATTTTTTCAAATATCCTATTTGATTAAAATCAAATATTAACTTTTATGACCACGCTTTTTAGCCATGCTTAGAACAAAGAATTATAATCCTTTCGTTGAGACAAAATTGGGAAATAGGTATTGTAAACATTAGCATTTTTCGTGATAAATGTGTTGCGCTGAAATTGAAATTTTTGTGTAATGTTTATACAAACTGTGCCAACTATTATGTTTTTGCGAAGTGATCAAATTTGCTAAAGAGAAGTTTGATTGCGGCACATCTCATGGGTTGAAAGTACTTGTATAATAAGAAAAACAGTGATTGGTTGGTGTAACGGGTAAATTGATCAAGTCTGCCGTTAAACTGTTCAAATACTCTAGTATGTCAAGACGACAAACCCTGAGGACTATTGTACTTACTACCATTGCTGCTTTCTATTGGCACTCGAAACAATATTCTGCATGCCAAAAAAAAATTTCTCTTCCATCATTTATCAGAAACTTTCAATCTTTTGATTTGTGTATTTCAGCCACGGCATTCACTATGGGGGTTCACTCATTTCGTTCAACACAGTTCCGCGATGGATGACGAGACAGTGTACAGGCGAAGAAAAAAGCTATTTCGACTGTCCATTTGCCAGTGATCAAAACGTGATCGTAGGACTGGGTATCGCTTCTGCCGTTTGTTATAACCAACCGGAAGGTATTTAATTATATCGATTATATTGTTATATATTATACATTTCCCTTGATATATTTCATATCTTAGAAACATGATTTTGATTTCCGATATACTGCAATTTGCACATGTAGGTGGATGAATAGGGAAATGTTTTACTGAGCGTTACCAGCTGTAGGTGTGTAATTCCAATTTATATACTCATTAAAATTTGCTACTACGTCCCCGTCAGTGATACACAATTTGGTTAATACGGCATGCTGAATTTATTTGTAAATGTTTATACGAAATCTAGCTTCTGTAATAATAATTTACATAAATACTTAGGACGTATGTTGCCCGATGCATGAGTCAATTTGACGAGAATAGAAACAACTAACCAACCAGTGGACTAATGATTATGACTAATTAATCTGTGATTATGCATATTTTAATTATCGTTTGAATAACACTGTGTACATAACTTATCAGATATTTACATACCAATGTCAAAACTAATTTGAATGTATAACCATCAGTTTTAAAGCTATGACTGACATGACGTCGTTTTCTATCTCTAAAGAACTTTGTCCTAGTTGAATATACCCTACATCAATTGGGATGCACGTTTTAATACGACGACGTTATCAATCTGTGCGTTTGAAACTTTCATGTCAGGTTCCAAATAAACACCTAACCACAACAAATATATCCCGGTTTACAGAAATTAACTATGTAAGTGTACGTCTTATATTTCAGTCGGTCTTGGTGAAGATCACCCCGTCTACCTTGTCGAAAAAGAATCCTTCAACATGGGCGCTGTTGAAGTTGTATATGGAGGACAAAATGCAACGGTTTGCAGCAAGAATTGGGACAACACTGAAGCAACAATTGTGTGTCGGATGCTTGGTTTCAGGTACAAAAAGGCACTTAAACCGTTCTTATAATGCATATGTTCTTTTAAAACGTTCAACAGAGAAAATATGAAATCGGATTTATCGGATGTTTCCAATTATCCTTCCTTTGATATTTATTTCGACAAGCGTTGACTGCCTCAGACGTTCCTAGATGTTAAATAAATGTTTTGGTCATTAACAATTACTCACGAGTGATGAAATAATTGTATGATGTACTTTTAATATTTTGTATGAATGATGCTATTTTGTCTTTTGTAAATTTCTTTTTTTGAATGCTGTCTGAAGTCTGGCTTACAGTTTAAAGTTGCAATATACGTATGTAAGGTCGTGCTTAACTCTGATATTTCCGTATGGCAACGTCGTGATTTTTTTTTTTATTATTATTATTATTATCGTAAGAACATGATAAAAAATAAAGGTACTTAAGTATGGTATTGAAATGAACGTAATCTGGATTTTTCACCTGAAAGTAAATTTGATATCAAATACTATCAGTGATGAATATCAGGATTTACAAATCAAGTACCTATTTTTTTTATTTTTATTTTAAATCACCGTTTTCAACTGACCTCTTTAACACGTAGTAGAACTCATAATAGGAAGTTGTGTATTCCTGAATGACAATTGATTTAACGGTATAAGGAAAAGTAAGAGTTCCTTGTTTTTATAATATAAATCCTACTCAGATCAAAAATGTAATTGCTCCTTCAATTTTCAATTGATTTGTTAGAAAATTTGCAAACTTTATGCATATGACATGAGATTGTGTTTTCCTGAGCTGTAATAAGATTCGTCAATTCTTGAGGGATACTAGCCCTATATTTTTTAGTATTTTAATACACTGCGGTAGTCTATCCTGAATTCTTGGTAATTCTTTAAACTTTGGTAGATAGAAATTTAATTAACAGTATTTCGATTTTCTATATTTGAAATAATATTCTCCAGCTTTTTAATCTTGCCTAGAGATGTTTTTATCCTATTTAAACAATCTAACTAAAATGCAGATCCTAATATAGCTCCTTTTCTCGCCACAAAGGATTCGACAACATTCTATAAGGTGTCATGTTCTAGTGAACTTTGGTATTAGCCGATCAACTTACCACTGACAGAATGTTGAACGTAACCGGGGCTGGTCGAAATATCTCTGATCATTCACAATTTCATCCCAACAAGTTGACTTAATTAACGAGATATATATGTGTCAGTCTGGAAACTTTATCCCTTTTCTCACTCCAATGCGAAAATAACGGAACGAGAATTATCAGATCTAAATAACAATATCGTTTGCCATCTCGGCATCTTAATATTTCCAAATTGGTATTCATTTCAATAGAATGAATATTGAATAATTCTTAAGCATTTGACGTGCATATGTAAGTTGATGTGTTTACGCTGTGGTAAATTTTATATTGTGTGATGACACTGTGACACGTTGTTTCCTGATGATGTCACCCTGTGGTAAATTTTATCTTGTTTGGTGACACTGTGACACATTGTTTCCTGATGTAGTCACCATGTGGTAAATTTTATCTTATGTTGTGACACTGTGACACATTGATTCATGATGTAGTCACCCTGTGGTAAATTTTATCTGATGTTGTGACACTGTGACACATTGTTTCCTGATGATGTCACCCTGTGGTAAATTTTATCTTGTTTGGTGACACTGTGACACATTGTTTCCTGATGTAGTCACCATGTGGTAAATTTTATCTTATGTTGTGACACTGTGACACATTGATTCATGATGTAGTCACCCTGTGGTAAATTTTATCTGATGTTGTGACACTGTGACACATTGTTTCCTGATGTAGTCACCCTGTGGTAAATTTTATCTTATGTTGTGACACTGTGACACATTGTTTCCTGATGTAGTCACCCTGTGGTAAATCTTATTTTGTGTTTTGACACTGTGACACATTGGTGGCTGATGTAGTCACCCTGTGGTAAATTTTATCTTGTTTGGTGACACTGTGACACATTGTTTCCTGATGTAGTCACCCTGTGGTAAATTTTATCTTGTGTTGTGACACTGTGACACATTGTTTCCTGATGTAGTCACCCTGTGGTAAATTTTAGTTTGTGTTGTGACACTGTGACACATTGTTTCCCGATGTAGTCACCCTGTGGTAAATTTTATCTGATGTTGTGACACTGTGACACATTGATTCATGATGTAGTCACCCTGTGGTAAATTTTATCTTGTGTTGTGGCACTGTTACACATTGTTTCCTGATGTAGTCACCCTGTGGTAAATTTAATCTTGTTTGGTGACACTGTGACACATTGTTTCCTGATGTAGTCACCCTGTGGTAAGTTTTATCTTGTTTGGTGACAATGTGACACATTGTTTCCTGATGTAGTCAACCTGTGGTAAATTTTATCTTGTGTTGTGGCACTGTTACACATTGTTCTCTGATGTAGTCACACGGTGGTAAATTTCATTTTGTGTGATGACACTGTGACACATTGATTCAAGATGTAGTCACCCTGTGGTAAATTTTATCTTGTTTGGTGACACTGTGACACATTTTTTCCTGATGTAGTCACCCTGTGGTAAATTTTATCTTGTTTGGTGACACTGTTACACATTGTTTTCTGATGTAGTCACGCTGTGGTAAATTTTATTTTGTGTGATGAGACTGTGACACATTGATTCATGATGTAGTCACCCTGTGGTAGATTTTATCTTATGTTGTGACACTGTGACACATTGTTTCCTGATGTAGTCACCCTGTGGTAAATTTTATTTTGTGTTTTGACACTGTGACACATTGTTTCCTGGTGTAGTCACCCTGTGGTAAATTTTATATTGTGGAATGATACTGTGATAAATCTTGATCTGATGTTTTCAAACAATAATTTACTTTACATTTACATCCCGACGATTGCAACTGCTATTGTGCTAAAATAGTCCTGTTACAACTTTGACGTGTAAGGGCGACAAATCTCACACTTCTGTAAGACGCCATCAGTGGTTTTAAAGTCCGGTATAAACCAAACTCGCACGCGCATTACAACTGTCTAATTTCTGGCTGTGCCTTATGCCATAAAAATGAAAAACTTGTTACTTTATTTATCAAATTATCACTAATCACAAATCTATATATTCGTAGAAATGGAACTGCCAAAGAATATCCAAGATACCAATGGGAATCTACTGAAGATATTGGACTGAAGGCACAGATAAACTGTTCCGGAGCAGAGTCGAGTATCTACGAATGTTCATTTCAGGCAGATTTATTTGGCTGTCCCTTTCCATTTGTCAGAGGAGGGGTTTCCTGTTCAGACTATTTAGGTAACTATATAAACCACCAGCCCTATAGTGTTAATTACCATGTTTTTTCTTTGATTTAAATTAAACGTCAACATAGCACTACTGTTCATATCCATAGCTCGTCGTAAAAGTATCCCCACTGTATATATGAGAATTAGATAATACATAAGAATATATGGTACTCATTTGCTACCCACAACATGATGGAATAATTCAGCTGCTACAATTTTGTTATGCTTTTCTCATTTATGTTTACTTTTTCCTTTTTGCCATACATGACGTTATCTCTTGTCTTATGAAGTCTGTAAGGCGTGTTCACCACTGTTTACTTGTAATGAAGAGTTCCCTTCATCCAACAATCTCTGCATTATCAATTGTTGAGACATAAAGGTACTATACAATCTAACTTTATTTACCATTTTTTCCTCAGATGACGTGGATGTCTTTCGATTCTTTATGAAAATGAAATTCTGTACCTTTTTTTCTTTTGCCGAATGCCGATCACGTCAGATCTTTTTGGATGGCTGTCATACCCTGGTTGATAAATGGGTCTAAATGTCACTACTCGTCATGTGTTGAACTATATCGTATCATGTCGTCTTTTTGTCCTTGTGATGTCTGACCATATCATATGGTTGCCCTGTGTTTGGTAAAAGAGTCGAGTGTGTGTGAGTTTTGTTTGTCCTGTAACGTCTGTATAGTCCTGTGATGTCATTTATAAATTTAGAAATAAAATACTGCACTGTGACTTAATGCACGAACATTAATGACCTGAAATATAAAAAAAATGATAAAATTCATATTCATATCAAGTTTATTGATGATTTGCATTCTGTTGAGTTGTTACCTTATCCTTTTTACAGCAAATGTCCTTATTTGTTGAATTTCTTTAACAAGGTCTTTATTTCAGAATGGCTGGTAATATGTTATCGTTGGTAAAGGAGATTTCTAACGCGTTACATTCACATTGACATGCAGTTGTTTCGTTTCAGCTACCAATGCCGCCGCTAGCAACTATTCATTCAACATTATTGTCACATATCTAATTTAATTGTGGGCAATTTTCTTCTCATCACCATTTGCCCTCGTTTTTTTTTTAATTTGGGTTTTTTAAAATTACCTTTAGGTGTGACATCAAAATTATATATTTGAGATTAAAAATCATATGTAACCTGTTTTGACTGAGTTGCCATATGTAATCCAAAGGAAGGCGTATTTTTAACAGTATTCATATTGCAAAAATGATATAAAAACATAAGAATTATGTTTGTTATAAGATTAGAAATATTTCATAACCGTTTAAATAAAACTTGATATTTTATATGACATATCTCAATCGGTAATGTAACTATGACGTTTTATGAAAATAATTGTAAGTATGCATAATGTAATAAATAAATTGGTCAGTTATTCATTTTAACAGATATACAACGTAGATAATGAAATACTGATATAACATTTTTTTAAATAATTTGTTTCATAACAACTATGGTAAATCAACCACAGCACAGTTACATATACTTATTCCAAATTTTGGGCCCCAAATAGAACCACGTCCACGTCGTGGGGCCTGGTAACATACTAGATGTAGTATGGCCAAGTGTTCTACATGGTTTAAGAAGGATTTGATTATATATTCCAATAAGTTATTTTCATAATTAAATCTAATTAAAAGTAAGAGGGCAAGAGCTTAGTGCTCTGCTCGTCAGTCCGTTTTATTTAGACATTTGTAGTACAGATAAGAACACCGATGAAAGTGATTTCCAAAACGCTGTCGGGAATACCGTATTTATTATTATTTTTACTTTTTACTCTCGTCCTTTTTTGCGGGACCATTTATTTAAGATACCACATAATGTCTGTGACAAACTTAATCAATTTTAGTGATGATATCAAATTTCTAGGAAGTAAATAACATGTACCGCCACTTCAGATTTGATCTAGATCTAGAATCGAAGAATTCGAAATTTCAGTGTCTGCATTACATAGAAAATGATTTACTGAAGTAAAAGAAAATGTTTTCGGTAAAAGCAAATACGAAGAAACCACTATAAGTGGTACTTTACAAGAGATTTTCCTACTTCCTAAGACAATAATGCAGGTACAGGATGCAAAAATATTTTGGTATTAGCAAAAATAAAAATGGTAAATTTATACCTCTTATTTTTAAATCCTCTTTCCAGATTGGTATTGTTCTCATTTCTTTTCGTTCACAAACTTCCCAATCATTACAAGGTACCATACACTTCCTATGCACATCATGTAGATCTGTGTACGTAATCATGATACCTAACCCATACGATACCGTCTGTGACAAATCTAAAAAAATAATAAATGACAACGTTGTTATGAAACATATCAAACTCTTTATCTTCAGCTACAAAATCAATATAAAAATTATTACTCGAACTAGACGTTCGGCAGGCGTTTGGCGCACAAGATCAAGATCCCTAAACACCCGTCACGTGACCTTAGCAGTTTCGAAGAAAACCAACACTAGATAATTAAACGTGTTCAAAACAGGACTGCATTGTCCAGTACACACGTAAACACGACATGAATTTCCACCCAGAAACTCCCTCCACATCTCGCCTATATTCCACAAAGTCCTTAATAATATATCTCTTTGCGAAACTTCCGATTATATTCGTAACGCCATAATCATAACTTTTATCAGAGTTAAACTGGTTTGACGATATTGAAATATTGACCAACAGGAAGCCAAGCTCAATTACGGCGGTCATTTTGTCCTAGCAGGAAGTTTGTTTCCAGTGTCAAAACAACCATGTATATCAAAAATCATTCACATTTACAATCATTGTAAACCACTCCATCGCTCTTATCTGGTCGCTATTTTTGACATTTTATTACGAATGAAAACTATTGCAAAGACAGTCGTTTCACATTTTTTATTGCACTGCACCAAATAGAACTAATGGTATCTTGCAATGATATCTCGGCTTTCAGACACAGGAGAACATCTAGAGATCAATGTCTCCTATATCATGCGTTACTGTGCTTATAAGATATTTGTGTGTACCAGATGGCTGTAAATGTGATGATCATTAGTAATAGATAGTAATCAATGAGATTCAAACTTCATCGTTATTCTGATCGTCTCGCTCTACTGATATGTAAGGGAGAGAAGAAGTACCCGACGGACACAGGTTCTCCTGCAACATAAAATCGGTACAGCTTTGCCATATATGTAACCAGCATTATACATCTCATCGAAAAACATATTTATAAAACCTGGACAACTGTCACGATTTGTTACATTTTTCACAGTGAAATGTAAGATTTTATAGTGAAAATAAAAGTGATATTTTCAGTTTTCATTCCGATGTTATTTGCACTTTCTTTTTTTGATCAATAAGATTGCAATGTAAATAAAAATTATCCAAAAACGACAACTCTGCAATAGTTAGCCCCGTGAAATGGAGGGAACCTCTCACTCTAGTGTAATGTATGAATTATAAATTGACAAAGTGGCAATTTCAACACGCAGCGGAAAGTTGAAAACTACAATAAATATGATACTTCTTGTTTTTGAGGGTTTTTATCAATAAAAGTAAGAAGTAAGTAATTTCGATTGGTTGATATTTATATCGGTGCTGCGCAAATGTGAAAAATATCAAAGCATCCACCCCACTCTATGAAATAAAACTGTTACTCGTCAAAAATCACAGAAGATCCTATTAATTCTCCCTCGTTCACTGTAATTTTACGCACAATATTTGTATGACTATCTTATCACATTTCACCATCACAGGTCACATCCAACGCAACTCCAACAATAAAGCAAATGACAAAAATTATACAATGAATGTTCACAGGGATGCTCTCATTTAACCCATCAATTACCTCCCCCTGACTTGGAAAAGATAAAAAAAAAAGACGACAGAAAACACTATGCACAATATATGCGTGTCTTACATATATCCATATTAGTTCATAGAAGATATCTTCCATTGTACATACTATATATAAGCAGCTTGTTGAAATTACTGGAGTTCAAATTAAAATAGGTCCTGTATATGTTTTTTAAGCATATTAAAGTTTATATACTTGTATTTACTTATAAGTCACAATATACAATAAGCGATTCTGATCAGTTCCAATATCAAACGGGGACAAGAAGGAGGCCTACATATCAACTTTGAGAACAATTCCATTTAGTTCTTCATAAGAAATACCGATAACAGGAAATGTTTACTGACTGATGAAAAGACGGACCACGAGCGTAGGAAGATGGTGGACTAAAATTATAAAGAATTTATGATCCGTTGTTAGGATAATACAAAATAAGGAGTAGTAGACAACTTGGGAAAGGAAATACTCACTGATACACAAATAGCCTAAAAAAACACATATAGGGTGATGGGAATAATTCCTCCGATATAAAAACAGAAAGAAACCTAAAATCAAGTGTGCGACGCATATAATCACCATGAAAATAGACAAACAATTACGGATCAAATTTAGCGATTAAGTGAAAAACAAGCTAACAGAATATCAACTTTTATAGATGTTTAACTAGAACAACTCAGACCTTCACAGATGCTGCTCTTTCGTCGGCCTTCCTGTGAAATGAACCATTTGCAGACGTATTTCTTGGAACATACGTTGTCTCTAAAAGGCTCACATTGAATGTATTGCTCCGCTTCAAGTCCACACTGCCTAATCTCTCCCTCATTAATTTCCACTTCCGCCGAACTACGTTTATAACTTCACCGTTAAAGAAGCAGAAGAACAGCGCGACCAGTACCCCCTGTGAAGAAAAAATGACTTATTGAAAATGTGGACGGTTTTATTTTATACCAAGCATGTAACTGCAGATAAAGTTTTTTCTTGCAATTCTGACAACTGCACTAATCAGACCAATTATACTACGGCAGAGTTACCTGATACGATGTCAGTACGGCAGATATGATATCGTAAATAGGTGATGGCGTGTCGGGCTGAAAAGGGATGACGAAGTACTGCAGGCCAAGCAGAGGTATTAGAATTAAGGTGGCACGCGCTGCTCGTCTAGAATAAAAAAAAACAGTTTCATATCACATACACAGGTATCTATCAAATGATTCCTGATTATGAACATTGCACCCCTGGGGGTAAAATTTACTTTAGGGTATATAGGAAAAAATACTTTGAACATTATTTGTTTATCGTTTGTTGGAAATAGTTCAAACCTGGTTAGAATTATTAGTTTAAGATGACAGTTTAATGAAATACATATACTGAACCCTGCTGACCCCAGGGACCGGAGCTAAATATGGGTCAAATTGACTGAAACTAAAACTATCTTCTTCTCAATAATCAGATAAGAAAGAACCAAATTCATTTCATGCGTGGAGGTGTCTTACGGTACTTTGTAACAATTGTAAATTTTATGACCTGATAATTTCACATTTCCCCTGGGGGAAGGGGTAAAATTTACTTTATTTTACATGGGAAAACGACAGTTTGATTAGATGCATATATTGACCTCAGGGGATGTTGGGCGAGGCCAAATATAGGTCAAATTGGCTGAAATTTGAAAGATGTTCTACTGTTCTGGATAGAAGATTTCATATAAAAAAATCAAATCTTCAGTGTAATTTCTTTAAATTCTAACTTGGTTAGAATCTTCAGTACGGGACAGAGGTTAATGTATACACAATTGATATTTGCATTATGTTTACAATATACTTAAAGGTATATAATTTCTATGACCTGTTACAAGACCAGTTGTGACTTAGGTGATAATAAATGCCTGTAGGAATCATGTTTAATTAATTTTGTTGGTTTTTTTTTCATGGTGTCAATTCGTTTTGTATCACACAGAAAATGTAAATGGATTATTTTACCAGTCTGCTTAGGTAAGGATACTAATAGAAAATAAGTTTGTGCTAAAACTACGTCTGTATATGTTTACTTTCCAGAAAAAAAATACCAGCCGATACTTGTTTTCGAGTTATACGGTATGTTAGTGAAGTAATATCGATATAGAGAATTATAAAGCTTTCTAGCCGTGAACGAAGTGTACATTATCTCTGTAAAGCATTTACAAATTAAATTGATGAGAATAAATCCGTTGTTCATAATGGTCTGGTATAAATCTATACTAAAAAGATAAAGAAACGCAGGGTGAACTTTAAACCAGAAATTAAGTATGATATCGGGCTTCATTTAAAAACGAAATTTTGTATACTTACAGATAAATTAAAGCTTAAAAATTTCCAAAGTCTGTATTTTGCATCTGACAATTGGTTTAGAGGTACTAATGATTAAATTGAATGGACCCATAGGATTTTGAAATTGAAATTGAACTGAGTCATCAATATCTTGTGTGTCCGCCGTTTGCTGTGGTCACGGCCCTTATTCTTCTGGCCATAGAGTTCATGAGAGTGTTAATCCGTCTTATGGGGATGTTGTCCCACTCTTCAATCAGAGCTCTGGTCAACTGCTCTTGAGTAGCAGGGGGTGGCTGGCGCTTTCGAACTTGTCTATCCAACTGGTCCCAAAGATGCTCGATCGGGGACAAATCAGGGCTATATGGCGGCCAATCTAGTGGTTGAATGTTGTTGTTGGCCAGAAAGACTTGGCAAATCCTTGCTACGTGGGGCCTAGCATTATCCTGCTGGAGGGTTAGATTATGCTGCTGTAAGAAAGGGATAACATGGGGTCTGAGGATCTCATCTCTATACTTAGCTGCTGTTAAATTGCCATCAATAACAACCAATTGTGATTTTAACCCGTGTGAGATTCCTCCCCACACCATTACTGAACCGCCCCCAAACCTATCCCTCTCTACAACGCAAGCGTCCGTAAAACGTTCGCCACGACGTCGGTAGACACGTTGACGGCCGTCAGATCGATAAAGACAGAATCGAGACTCGTCCGTGAAGAAAACTTGTCTCCACTGCCTCAGTGGAAACCGTCGTGGAGCATGTGCAGCGACCCAGGCCATACGATGCTGACGTCGAGCAGGGATTAAGGTGTGGACCTACGTAGGGGCGACGTGCTCTTACACCAACTTCTCGTAATCGATTCCTTACAGTTTTTGAACTTATAGGACGCCCATGATTTCCACGAACATTAAGTGCACTCTCAACGGCAGTAAGGCGCCGGTTACGCACATGAGAGACGACGATATAGCGATCCTGACGTCGTGACGTTACGCGCGGACGTCCTCACCTAGGTCTATCTGCCAATCGTCCAGTTTCCCGAGGACGTCTTACAAGACGTTCTATGGTGGAGACATTAACACCAAAGTGCCTAGCAACCTGATTTTGCAGCTGTCCTTGCATCAGCATCTGAATGGCCTGACCCCTCTGAACTTCTGTGAGTCGTGCCATTCTTAAAACGAATCAAATTCTCAATTAATTTTAGGGAAGCAGTTGGTCTGTATAAAGACTAACGAAGAGTGACTTGACCAACGCTGCATGAGACCAGAACAACACGGTGCACGAGATTCTTGTTTTTTCCTTCCTCCATTTACCAGAGCTGCGCACTGTACCGTGACTAAATTTTCGATACATGACAAGATGTAATATGACCTAATTACTCAATCCACAAAGTTTCACTTTATTTGGAGAACGCGTTTTCAAAATATCGGAATAACTATTACCCTGCGTTTGTTTATCCTTTCAGTATATGTTAATTTAATTCACGCATTGACAAATACTACGAGGTAAAAACAACAAGGCCGCATTATTTATTCTGTAGCCTACCTGGACTGATGTGCTTCATTGGAGTTCACCGCCCGCAGCTTAGACAACAGGATCCGTAAAATGTTTAGCAAAAATAGAAAATTTACCTGGAGAGGAAAGCAATTCAAAATAACCTATCAAACGAAAGAGCATGACACAATATATTGAGAAAAATACGAATTAATAATTACATGCTTTCAATTAGAAGATTTGTGAATACTGCTCAGTAATCATACCTACCCACATCAACTATTCTATCCCTCAGAAATACCTCACAGATACGTGATAGAACAGGAAATATTTAAATTATTTTCACCTCTAAAATTTCAATTTGATGCTGCGATGAGGCACGAACTGGCCGGGACAAGGGATGTATATAGTGACTAAGAGTTATACATTTATGACTTTTGGGGTTTTATAGACTGTACTAGAACGGAAATGATTCCAACTCTACTCACCACTAATGACACAACTACAGGCCCAGTAAGTATCCAATTTTCATCTGTTGTACGCGACCAACAACTATAAAAAAAAAGTAAACGATACTTTTCTAGTTCGTCAATTCGGTGGATCGTCATATGATATCGATATTTAACGCAATAGATGGCATTTCTTTTTCGATAGGAAAGGTGCAACTGTGTATCAACAACGATTATCGTAAGTAAATATTACACATATTGGGGGCTTGGATATATGTTTCCAGCATCTGTATCTATTAAATTACAAGTAGTATATTGATGTATTTTGTTGGGAGAACGTCCATCAACTTTTAAACTGTATTATGTTCCGTATTTTCAGACATTTTCCAGCCTGATTCAGTGATTTCTCGGTGATTAGGTAAAGAGGAAAGGCTCAACAGATCAAAAGGATTATTAATTGCTACAAATATTCCGAAGCATAAGACTTTTCAATCGCTATAGTGCTTCATAGAAAGATATTCATTGGGAGTACTATTCAGTTTCGTTCTGAATTGATGAGCTACAGATCAAGCTATTCAATATAGAAAACTAGATACAGAACTTCGATAATTAAGGCAATCGTAAATCTTCCGAAATATGTGATAATTTGTCCGTTATCTTTTTGTAGACTATTACGTACCCATGACGTAGTTCCGGTTTAGAACCACGGACTGACGCATACACCACTGTAGGGATCAGTGGCCCGACTGTCAATAAAACAAATAAACATAATGATAAACGCCATTTGTTGACTAAATCGAAGTATCAAGCGAATATGATATTGGATTATATTACAATACGTGTACGTTGATGAAACACCGTTGTGCATTACATTTGTTCCATATCGTTTCAAAAACATTATTATTCATATCTTGGAACACCAGATTAATATCATTAAACCCCAGATATACAAAAATATGCAAGTTAGTCTTTTTTTTTTTTTTTTTTATTTGTTTTGTTGAAATCGTCATTCGCTAGCAGAGAATGTAAGAAAGCTCAAGCATTTTAAGCACTGTATCACTTACACTGTACCAAGAAACATGTCTTACCCCAGCCGATCACGTAACAGATGACCAGGAGTCGCTTGTCGTTCGTGAAGGCGAAGACGATAAGTGTGTGTAGATAAAAACCTTCACAAAACATCCAGAAATAGTTACAAATCGTCAGATACTGCGTGACCACGTGCAGTGCCTGGCACCATGGCTACAGGACCAAAGGATACCGTGACATTATGGTTTAAGATAGGTTAGGCCGGATATAGAATATAGCTTTAATATATAACAGACTTTTATGAAGGGAGACATGAAAAATGTGTGATATAAATAACGCTAGACATAAGGTAGACTTCCAATTCGTGGAATATCGTGTAAGATATGTTTATATGTATACTATTAAGGGTTGGATTTGTTTCAAGATTATATCCTGACACCCTCTTCATCTCAATCAATCAGTGCGACAAAGAACACGTCATGATAAATGAACAAAACACAGCATTCGCCAGATATTTTGAGGACTGTCATATTATAACAAATTCATGAATTGTATGTTGAGAGGAAGGGGTAGGTGTTGCTTTGTAACATTTTTGAAAAATGTTTTTATTGTTATTGTCATAGATTTATTTCGTCAGATTAAAACTGTTGTGAATTAATGCCAACCTAGCATGATTCAGGTCAGAATATATGGGACCTCACACGAATTTCACATTCGTGCACGATTCATGACACAAGCATTTAAGGAAAACTCGTGACGAGTTTTATAAATGCCACGTGGTGTATTCATGAATGCAAGATTCTGTTTATCTCGTAAAACGTTTGAAAATTTCCCTCAAAGTAGTATTTCATATGACTGATATATAATCAATATTTGCGATTTCCTTACTCCATATCTTTCTTTGTGACGCAATAATACATATGACGTCATAAAGTTATATCATCTGAAGGGAATCTTCAAAAAATAATTTGATGGATGTCATTACACTGATAACAGATAGTTATATAATAGGAATATGTATATAGCTGATTTAAAAGTTAACATTTCCAACCAAGGCCTTTCTGACCAGTACATCAATATAAATCTATATTGAGATAGACAAGAATAATACCTTGTTCTCTTTCACCATGGCCGGATTTGCCCTTAGGGCATACATGAGGATCCAGGCTGCCCCGGATAAGATGTAGGTGACAAAGAGATTCTTATGCAGTGTTACCCGACTACAATGAAGCTGTCTGCAACAAATATAATACATTTATATTCCTTTATTAACAAATATTTCACCATTTTCACTCAACTACAAGCCAGGCTACTAGTGTTAGTCACGTGGCCCGGATTTTTCACCTGATTGTATGAATAAAGAATATTGGTGTATTCTGTATAATGGACTCATATTTATCATACATATGTTTGTACTTTCTTGAAAAGTCCAGCGACACTTGGGGCAAAATGAATTAAAAAAAGGAAAGGTGTGTCAATATAGAAGGGGATGTACTCTTTTTTGAAATGTTCTACTTGAATGTAAATATTTTGAAGCTTCAGTCTGCATCAAATTATAGACGTGGCATACTGTGTAAGCATAACCCATAATCTTAAAGGTGTGTTTGCATTATCATAAGTTTTACCACAAAACACTGTAACAGGATGTAAAGATATTGTTGGTGTAATATCTATAATATAGTTCATCAAAATGTTGTTTGTTTTTTTTACAAAATAACATAATTCAAGCTCAAATTCGATGAAAGGACGGCAAAATAAAAACAATTGAAACATCTACAGTTAAATCCAAATCCAATAATAAAATTATCAAGAGCACCAGACGGTAGCAATGGCGTACACGATTTATACATTGTTTTATCTTTACTTACTTTGTTTGATTTCATTCTGTTTATGCAGGGGAAAATAAGAAGGCTTAATTACAAGTAGTTGTGATTAACCGTTCAGCTTTGTTTTCAAAATGATGGTTTCCTAACCAGTATAATTTTTAATCGAGCATCGTCTTCTTGGAGTACAGTAAAGTTACACATTGTAGGTACTCACCGGAAGTAGGAGAAAATTAGAAGTGCAGCTACGGAGAGAATGATGGATAATGAATAGCCACTGTAATACACACTAATGACCTTCTGAAGCGTCTGAAAAGAAGTTTAGTTTTTTTTTTTTTTAAATATGTTTGATATGATTGAAACATAACCAGTCTTTTTCTAAATGGCCAATAGGAAGATACACAATGTAAATTAATCAGTTAAACATCTGTTATTGTTTATTTTAATATTCCATTAAGATTCTTAACCCCTATGGCATTGCCTGTATCAATGGGTCATTAAGAATGAAACAATCACATTATCATGAATTAATCAAAGTGTTTTAAACCAAAATTATGGCTTCAGAAAAGAAAAGTTGAGAAGTCGTTTTTTTTTTTTTTTTTAAACATCACCATAGAAAATACGAATGTTTCATAATTTATAATTTGGTGCATAGTGTTCAAAAGATGTGTAATGACTTGATAATATGTCTCCATAGTGTAGTTATAGTTGTCATAAAATCCTACCACAATCAGACAACATACATGGTAATTATTCATCAAGAAGACGAACGAACCGCTGATCGCTTGCCGCCTCCAAGTTGGAATTAGGAATGCCTGTTAGGTATCTCAATAAGGTTAGAGTGTAAGGTACTATCAGTACCAGTACATTGTATAAATTTGTCAATAACCCGTTCCTTTGTTCCATACGATGTCGGCGATCCGAATTTTTCATTTATTGATTAAATATGAAAGTAATATAATGTTCTTTTTGTTCATCTTTCAATACTTGTTAGTTGATCTATGTTGCAATTTTTTGTGTTTGATGCTGTTCTTACTGCTGTTTTTTTTATTTTTATTATTTAACATGTACTTACCCTTATTTCATATCTTGTGTATATAGGTAATAAAAAATCGGAAATTATTAATCGATAGATTCGATCATATAACCATAATTAGTGAATTCGGCGAGAATGGCAACCAGATTCACTAGTCACCGTCTTTAATTTAGAACAAAGATACAAGTAACTCTGGAATTTACTGCAAAATCAGAAATTTTCGTGAGCTCACATTTTGTGTGGTTTTTCAAAACATCACTGTTTCTTGGACGCTTGATTTCGAAGATAAACACAGCTTTGTTAGTTTTAATTGTAATAGTTAGTTTCCAGATATATTCATTGATCAAGAACGCCCTCGAAATGAACGAAAATAAATACACACTTAAAGTGATTATAAGGTATACATTGCAAATATGCAAAATTTTCAAAATATTTCGCTGTGATTTACATAAAACATAGATAAAATCCTGTGCCTACCATTAATAGTGCATTCCGACTTCATCTTTTTTTACAAGAACATATGTTCATTTTATTGCAGTTGGAGAACACATCACCATATTTATCATTGTAACGATCCAGACGGGGTAAAAATGTTCAGAAACATTTTTTTTCTTTTAGACCAAGGTGTGGATTAGTACGGAGATAAACAGCACTATGTTATCCTAACAAACATATTGCTTCAGGTCAAAAGGTGCGAGGTTTATATGTCAAGTATCGATTACTGTATATCCGTCTACCTTTAAATAAATCGTCTTTTCATAAAGAGCAATTGTATTAACAGATTACACTTATTTCCTTTTAATGAACAGATTTCCCAGATTACATTTAAGATTATAGATATATCAAAACGAACTAATTTATCAAAGCTTATTCTCCATACAAAACCATTTCCGTATTTTTTCAAATTCACTTTTAATCAAGGCATCAATACTGATACCATTCCCCTCATTGTTCAACGTCGACTTATGAGCAATAAAGAAAATTGTCTAGTGTGTGAGGTATGTTCAACGTTCCATAAAAGAATGGAACCACCAGTACTGATAATGAGTTTCTTTAAATAAATATTAAGGTTGACCTTGAGTTGACAGCCATGAAACCCAATCTCGTCAGTGATACAGAAAAATACAACCTTTAAACTCAAGCACTGTTTCTTTAATTTTTTTTTAAATCCCTCAAAAAATGAAGCCGATGGATTACTGAAAATATTTACAAACAGTAGTAACAGTGACTTTCACTTTGACCCTACAACCTTCAAAGTGTAACCTGTCCTAGACATAAAATATCGTGAAGTTTGATTTAAAACAAACCATCTAAGAATTAAGCCGTCAGAGAGCTGAGAAGCTATTCATCTAAAATAATGGTATGATTGGCATTTACTCTTCAACTCACACTCGTTAGCACTATAATGGTCCTTATAGGGGTATGGAGTTACATCAAAATGCCTAAAGGAATTAAATCTAAATCGCTGACAAGGATAGTGATATGTAATTACTTGCATGTAAATCAACATCTCAATACATACTAACGAGGGGATTATAAAGCCAATAAGTATGTTCAGGTTATATCCTAATTTTTTATTGAAACGTTCAGCCATATTAACACTACATATTCCAAGATTGATTTAAAAATTATAGCTGCATGCCATATTTAACCGAATTTCTTATTAATAATGTCGTGTTTCCTTTCGCTACTGTTAACGACATGTATATGTCATGTCCTTGGGCTATCAATGTTTTTGACATCAATGGAAGTAAACGGTGAACAATTGTGTGATTCCTCTTTTTAATATATATTTCGTTTACATTTGTCTAGGTTCCAGCTGTGAAGAAGCAGGTTCTATCTTTTTTATCATTTTTCGTTTACATTTGTCTAGGTACCTGCTGTTAATAAGCTGGTTCTATCTATTTTCATCATATTCCGTTTACATTTGTCTAGGTTCCTGCTGTGAAGAAGCTGGACCTATCTATTTCTATCATATTCCGTTTACATTTGTCTACGTTCCTGCTGTTAAGAAGCTGGTTCTGTCTATATTTATATTATTTCGTTTACATTTGTCTAGGTTCCTGCTGTTAAGATGCGGGTTCTATCTTTTTATCATATTTCGTTTACATTTGTCTAGGTTCCTGCTGTGAAGAAGCTGGACCTATCTTTTTTATCATATTTCGTTTACATTTGTCTAGGTTCCTGCTGTTAAGAAGCAGGTTCTATCTATTTTCATCATATTCTGTTTACATTTGTCTAGGTTCCTGCTGTTAAGAAGCTGGACCTATCTTTTTTATCATATTTCGTTTACATTTGTCTAGGTTCCTGTTGTTAAGAAGCAGGTTCTATCTATTTTCATCATATTTCGTTTACACTTGTCTAGGTTCCTGCTGTTAAGAAGCTGGTTCTATCTATTTTTATCATATTTCGTTTACATTTGTCTAGGTTCCTGCTGTTAAGAAGCAGGTTCTATCTATTTTCATCATATTTCGTTTACACTTGTCTAGGTTCCTGCTGTTAAGAAGCGGGTTCTATCTATTTTCATCATATTCCATTTACATTTGTCTAGGTTCCTGCTGTTAAGAAGCGGGTTCTATCTATTTTTATCATATTTCGTTTACACTTGTCTAGGTTCCTGCTGTTAAGAAGCTGGTTCTATCTATATTGATCATATTTCGTTTACATTTGTCTAGGTTCCTGCTGTTAAGAAGCAGGTTCTATCTATTTTCATCATATTTCGTTTACACTTGTCTAGGTTCCTGCTGTTAAGAAGCAGGTTCTATCTATTTTCATCATATTTCGTTTACACTTGTCTAGGTTCCTGCTGTTAAGAAGCTGGTTCTATCTATTTTCATCATATTTCGTTTACATTTGTCTAGGTTCCTGCTGTTGAAGCGGGTTCTATCTATTTTTATCATATTCCGTTTACATTTGTCTAGGTTCATGCTGTTAAGAAGCTGGTTCTATCTATTTTCATCATATTTCGTTTACATTTGTCTAGTGATCATATTTCGTTTACATATTTCATGCTGTTAAAAAGCTGGTTCTATCTATTTTCATCATATTCCGTTTACATTTGTCTAGGTACCTGCTGTTAAGAAGCGGGTTCTATCTATTTTTATCATATTCCGTTTACATTTGTCTAGGTTCCTGCTGTTAAGAAGCTGGTTCTGTCTATATTTATCATATTCCGTTTACATTTGTCTAGGTTCCTGCTGTATAGAAGCTGGTTCTATCTATATTGATCATATTTCGTTTACATTTGTCTAGGTTCCTGCTGTTAAGAAGCTGGTTCTATCTATATTGATCATATTTCGTTTACATTTGTCTAGGTTCATGCTGTGAAGAAGCTGGTTCTATCTATATTGATCATATTTCGTTTACATTTGTCTAGGTTCCTGCTGTTAAGAAGCAGGTTCTATCTATTTTCATCATATTTCGTTTACATTTGTCTAGGTTCCTGCTGTTAAGAAGCAGGTTCTATCTATTTTTATCAACTTTCGTTTACATTTGTCTAGGTACCTGCTGTTAAGAAGCGGGTTCTATCTATTTTCATCATATTTCGTTTACATTTGTCTAGGTTCCTGCTGTTAAGAAGCGGGTTCTATCTATTTTTATCAACTTTCGTTTACATTTGTCTAGGTTCCTGCTGTTAAGAAGCTGGTTCTATCTATTTTCATCATATTTCGTTTACATTTGTCTAGGTTCCTGCTGTTAAGAAGCAGGTTCTATCTATTTTTATCAACTTTCGTTTACATTTGTCTAGGTACCTGCTGTTAAGATGCGGGTTCTATCTTTTTATCATATTTCGTTTACATTTGTCTAGGTTCATGCTGTTAAGAAGCTGGTTCTGTCTATATTTATCATATTCCGTTTACATTTGTCTAGGTTCCTGCTGTATAGAAGCTGGTTCTATCTATTTTTATCATATTTCGTTTACATTTGTCTAGGTTCATACTGTAAAGAAGCTGGACCTATCTATTTTTATCATATTTCGTTTACATTCGTCTAGGTTCATGCTGTTAAGGAGCTGGTTCTATCTATTTTCATCATATTTCGATTGCATTTGTTTGTCTTTCTTGTTCCCTAATATACATATATCATTATTTTTTGTTTTCCTATTTGGTTTTTAACATATTTCATTCGAAGAACGCGCATGTTACGCTTGCAAACACATTTAATTCACGCAATTGATGCTAATTATTTGTTTCTGTTGATATCTCCGTTTACTGCAAGTGGAAAAAACGTCAATAAACAATAGGAAGTACTAACCTTGATGAAATTATGAACATACTGAAATTGATAGCATTTAATTTCATTCAACTACTTGATGATTTGAAATGAATTTCATTTAAGGCTGTAATTTAAACTTAGATAGAACAGAAGTTGATGCATCTGGCATGGGATACTTATGATTACAAGTTAATTACATAAAGAACTTTATTTTAATATTGCACGTGACAAAATCTAAAAAAGCGGTTACTCATGATGGAAAGTGCACTGGAGCAAGAAATGATCAATAGATACAGGAAATGAGCAACAGAGCATGAAGTCGGAAGATCATTAAAACGTTCAATGAACGAGACCGATGTAGAACAATTACCTCCTTGTTGCTGGCACAAAGAGTATAGTTGGTCCATATCCGCCCAGTGTCAGGATGGGTCAGCCACGTTCCGTCCTCCTGACAATCCTTGAACGCTTGGCCTGTAAAATGTTTAAGTTAACATTTATCTATGTATATCTAAGCTAGTGTTGCCCAAATTTCGTAGAAAGGAATACATGTGTTAATAGCATTTAAAAGAACAATGTATATGTCACAAGGATTTTCAAATCATTATAATGTTTGAAATATATAATTATGCTATAATTAATGTGTAATTGAATGTTATCATGTTTCCCTCAGATTGATGTCTGGAGTTGTGAAATAGTATCTGGCGTTGTGAAATAGTATCAGGCGTTGTGAAATAGTATCGGGCGTTGTGAAATAGTATCAGGCGTGGTGAAATAGTATCGGGCGTTGTGAAATAGTATCGGGCGTGGTGAAATAGTATCAGGCGTGGTGAAATAGTATCAGGCGTGGTGAAATAGTATCGGGCGTTGTGAAATAGTATCGGGCGTGGTGAAATAGTATCGGGCGTTGTGAAATAGTATCTGGCGTTGTGAAATAGTATCAGGCGTTGTGAAATAGTGTCCGGCGTTGTGAAATAGTATCAGGTGTTGTGAAATAGTGTCAGGCGTTGTGAAATAGTATCAGGCGTGGTGAAATAGTTTCAGGCGTGGTGAAATAGTATCAGGCGTGGTGAAATAGTATCAGGTGTTGTGAAATAGTAACGGGCGTTGGGAAATAGTATCATGGGTTGTGAAATAGTATCAGGCGTGGTGAAATAGTATCAGGCGTTGTGAAATAGTATCATACGTTGTGAAATAGTATCAGGCGTGGTGAAATAGTATCAGGCGTTGTGAAATAGTGTCAGGCGTTGTGAAATAGTATCAGGCGTTGTGAAATAGTATCAGGCGTTGTGAAATAGTATCAGGCGTGGTGAAATAGTATCTGACGTTGTGAAATAGTATCAGACGTTGTGAAATAGTATCAGGCGTGGTGAAATAGTATCAGGCGTTGTGAAATAGTGTCGGGCGTTGTGAAATAGTATCAGGCGTTGTGAAATAGTATCAGGCGTTGTGAAATAGTATCTGTCGTGGTGAAAAAGTATCAGGCGTTGTGAAATAGTGTCCGGCGTTGTGAAATAGTATCTGGCGTTGTGAAATAGTATCAGGCGTTGTGAAATAGTATCAGGCGTTGTGAAATAGTGTCCGGCGTTGTGAAATAGTGTCCGGCGTTGTGAAATAGTATCAGGCGTTGTGAAATAGTGTCCGGCGTTGTGAAATAGTGTCCGGCGTTGTGAAATAGTGTCCGGCGTTGTGAAATAGTATCAGGTGTTGTGAAATAGTAACGGGCGTTGTGAAATAGTATCAGGCGTTGTGAAATAGTATCAGGCGTTGTGAAATAGTATCGGGCGTTGTGAAATAGTATCGGGCGTTGTGAAATAGTATCTGTCGTGGTGAAAAAGTATCTATTTGGCATTGGACAGAATAATTGTAAATTTTTCAACGGGAATATTGGGATAATTCCATACTTGTGTCGGAGGGAATATCGACCTTTAGACCTGTCATACTTTTGTCGGAGGGAATATCGACCTTTAGGCCTGTCATACTTGTGTCGGAGGGAATATCGACCTTTAGACCTGTCATACTTTTGTCGGAGGGAATATCGACCTTTAGGCCTGTCATACTTGTGTCGGAGGGAATATCGACCTTTAGGCCTGTCATACTTTTGTCGGAAGGAATCTCAACCTTTCGATGGGAATATCAACTTTAGATCTTTCATTCTTGTATCTCATGGAATATAAACCTTAAGGGTTATTTACCATACGAGAAGAGTATTTGTTATTATGTCAGTTTTTTCGGGATATAAACATATACTTGTAAGCCTACTACACCTGTGTCGCAGTTTTTACCTGAAGGTCTGCCATATTTGTGCCGAAGAAAAGTAGGACAATCATGATATATCCGGGTCCCTGCAGACGTGTAGTTCCAACAATCCCAGCCATCAAACGTTGCGTTACAGTACAGCCCGCCTACAAAAATGATAACATCATATCATTTTCTGTAAATCATAAATTGACGTTTAGATTACGTATTGTCGTTCTTTTTACAACAGTCATTGCTCTTTACAAAAAAAACTGTCTTATATTTTATATAATTTAATGTTTAGTACAGATCATAGCACCGCTGTAAAAATTGTTATGTTTAAAATAGAATACCAGGATGAATTGTACAGCAAATTTCGACTTTAAGATAAGCAAAGAAAACACCAACATATCAACAGAATCTTATTTCTAATTCTATAAAACAGTGCAAAACATGAACAACAGAAAGATCCGCACGGAAATCGCCGAAAAGGGTATAAAAAATCGTTCTTTTTGCGAGAATTATTGACCGTTGTCATTAGCAACACAACATAGTAAACAAAGATGTTTTACAGACATAATTAAATGCGTCTTGCTTATTTCTTGTACTCATCGATTCATTATCTAAGTTTACGGCAATATATCATACAGTTTAATTTCCTATTACAATCAACATCAGTTAGAAGAAATCTATGATCATCGACAGTCACCAGTGATTGTGTGGCATTTTCACTTGTGGCCGTTTACTGATGTGACCCGGCGGCACTATGTAATAAATGGATTGGATATGCTAAGATATCAGTATTTAATCGATTTTAAACACAACAGAATATTATAAAACTCTCAAAAAGAGATTAGTATTAAAGATAAACAGACTGTCAAAAATATTCGAATATGTCAAAAATATATGAAAGAAATCTTTGACACGAACATGATGTCCGTGGTGAACAGTCGAGCATTTATAAGAAAAATGTAAAAAGGAATTGTCATACATACATCATTTTTACAAGACAAATATACATCTTTCTAAAGTCAAGTTTTCCTATTTAAAGGATTTCAATGTAATCCTTCTGTTGAACCGAGAATGTGATATATATCATAAAACATCTGACTGCGCAGTGTGACAACCTCGTTGATTAATTAATTCCGTTTTCCATTACAATGAAATGAAAATAATCACCAAGTTGGAAGTGTTCCATTTTTATCTCGAATGTCTAATCAAACTAAAGATTGTAGTATCAATAACAATAATATAAATAGATCCCTCCCGATTTAGAGTGTGACCTCTATAACAAATAGATCCCTCCTGTTATAGAGTGTGACCTCTATAACAAACATATCCGTCCTGTTATAGAGTGTGACCTCAATATCAAATAGATCCCTCCTGTTATAGAGTGTGACCTCTATAACAAACATATCCGTCCTGTTATAGAGTGTGACCTCTATATCAAATAGATCCCTCCTGTTATAGAGTGTGACCTCTATAACAAACATATCCGTCCTGTTATAGAGTGTGACCTCTATAACAAACATATCCGTCCTGTTGTAGAGTGTGACCTCTATAACAAACATATCCGTCCTGTTATAGAGTGTGACCTCTATAACAAATAGATCCCTCCTGTTATAGAGTGTGACCTCTATAACAAATAGATCCTCTATAACAAATAGATCCCTCCTGTTATAGAGTGTGACCTCTATAACAAACATATCCGTCCTGTTATAGAGTGTGACCTCTATAACAAACATATCCGTCCTGTTATAGAGTGTGACCTCTATAATAAATAGATCCCTCCTGTTATAGAGTGTGACCTCTATAACAAATAGATCCCTCCTGTTATAGAGTGTGACCTCTATAACAAACATATCCGTCCTGTTATAGAGTGTGACCTCTATAACAAACATATCCGTCCGTTATAGAGTGTGACCTCTATATCCTGTTATAGAGTGTGACCTCTATAACAAACATATCCGTCCTGTTATAGAGTGTGACCTCTATAACAAATAGATCCCTCCTGTTATAGAGTGTGACCTCTATAACAAATAGATCCCTCGTGTTGTAGAGTGTGACCTCTATAACAAATAGATCCCTACCGTTGTAGAGTGTGACCTCTATAACAAATAGATTCCTACCGTTGTAGAGTGTGACCTCTATAACAAATAGATCCCTCCTGTTGTAGAGTGTGACCTCTATAACAAATAGATCCCTCCTGTTATAGAGTGTGACCTCTATAACAAACATATCCGTCCTGTTATAGAGTGTGACCTCTATAACAAATAGATCCCTCCTGTTATAGAGTGTGACCTCTATAACAAACATATCCGTCCTGTTATAGAGTGTGACCTCTATAACAAACATATCCGTCCTGTTATAGAGTGTGACCTCTATAACAAACATATCCGTCCTGTTATAGAGTGTGACCTCTATATCAAATAGATCCCTACCGTTGTAGAGTGTGACCTCTATAACAAAAAGATCCCTCCCGTTGTAGAGTGTGACCTCTATAACAAATATATCCCTCCCGTTGTAGAGTGTGACATTTATAACAAATAGATCCCTTCCGTTATAGAGTGTGACCTCTATAACAAACAGATCCCTCCCGTTATAGAGTGTGACCTCTATAACAAACAGATCCCTCCTGTTATAGAGTGTGACCTCTATAACAAACATATCCGTCCTGTTATAGAGTGTGACCTCTATATCAAATAGATCCCTACCGTTGTAGAGTGTGACCTCTATAACAAAAAGATCCCTCCTGTTATATAGTGTGACCTCTATAATAAATAGATCCATCCTGTTGTAGAGTGTGACCTCTGACCTCTATAACAAACACATCCCTACCGTTGTAGAGTGTGACCTCTATAACAAACAGATCCCTACCGTTGTAGAGTGTGACCTCTATAACAAATAGATCCCTCCTGTTGTAGAGTGTGACCTCTATAACAAATAGATCCCTCCTGTTATAGAGTGTGACCTCTATAACAAACATATCCGTCCTGTTATAGAGTGTGACCTCTATAACAAATAGATCCCTCCTGTTATAGAGTGTGACCTCTATAACAAATAGATCCCTCCTGTTATAGAGTGTGACCTCTATAACAAACATATCCGTCCTGTTATAGAGTGTGACCTCTATAACAAATAGATCCCTCCTGTTATAGAGTGTGACCTCTATAACAAACATATCCGTCCTGTTATAGAGTGTGACCTCTATAACAAATATATCCCCTACCGTTGTAGAGTGTGACCTCTATAACAAACAGATCCCTACCGTTATAGAGTGTGACCTCTATAACAAACAGATCCCGCCCGTTATAGAGTGTGACTTCTATAACAAATATATCCCTACCGTTATAGAGTGTGACTTCTATAATAAACAGATCCATCCTGTTGTAGAGTGTGACCTCTGACCTCTATAACAAACACATCCCTACCGTTGTAGAGTGTGACCTCTATAACAAACAGATCCCTACCGTTGTAGAGTGTGACCTCTATAACAAATAGATCCCTCCTGTTATAGAGTGTGACCTCTATAACAAATAGATCCCTCCTGTTATAGAGTGTGACCTCTATAACAAATAGATCCCTCCTGTTATAGAGTGTGACCTCTATAACAAATAGATCCCTCCTGTTATAGAGTGTGACCTCTATAACAAATAGATCCCTCCTGTTATAGAGTGTGACCTCTATAACAAACATATCCGTCCTTTTATAGAGTGTGACCTCTATAACAAATAGATCCCTCCTGTTATTGAGTGTGACCTCTATAACAAATATATCCCCTACCGTTGTAGAGTGTGACCTCTATAACAAACAGATCCCTACCGTTATAGAGTGTGACCTCTATAACAAACAGATCCCTCCCGTTATAGAGTGTGACCTCTATAACAAACAGATCAATCCTGTTGTAGAGTGTGACCTCTGACCTCTATAACAAACACATCCCTACCGTTGTAGAGTGTGACCTCTATAACAAACAGATCCCTACCGTTGTAGAGTGTGACCTCTATAACAAAAAGATCCCTCCTGTTGTAGAGTGTGACCTCTATAACAAATAGATTCCTCCTGTTATAGAGTGTGACCTCTATAACAAATAGATCCCTCCTGTTAAACATATCCGTCCTGTTATAGAGTGTGACCTCTATAACAAATAGATCCCTCCTGTTGTAGAGTGTGACCTCTATAACAAACATATCCGTCCTGTTATAGAGTGTGACCTCTATAACAAACATATCCGTCCTGTTATAGAGTGTGACCTCTATAACAAATATATCCCCTACCGTTGTAGAGTGTGACCTCTATAACAAACAGATCCCTACCGTTATAGAGTGTGACTTCTATAACAAATATATCCCTACCGTTATAGAGTGTGACCTCTATAACAAACAGATTCCTACCGTTATAGAGTGTGACCTCTATAACAAACAGATCCCTGCCGTTATAGAGTGTGACCTCTATAACAAACAGATCCCTCCCGTTGTAGAGTGTGACCTCTATAACAAAAAGATCCCTCCCCTTATAGAGTGTGACCTCTATAACAAACAGATCCCTACGGTTATAGAGTGTGACCTCTATAACAAATAGATCCCTCCCGCTGTAGAGTGTGACCTCTATAACAAATATATCCCTACCGTTGTAGAGTGTGACCTCTATAACAAATAGATCCCTCCCTCATTTTTTGTGCTCGCGCATGCGCTATACCCACAAAGTCACAAATGAACACCACTGCACGTTTTCCAGTTAGAATGGACATAGTATTTATAAATCAGAGCGTAACCGCTTCCACATTTATAGAATTACTTCTGACCAAGCGCCAAAAAGAAATTACGTGACAAGACACCCCTATGTCAAACTGGAAACTAAAGTCCAGTGGATGTAAAACTCAGCGAAAAAGAATTCAGAAATAATATTAAGGAAACGGAAATAAGATTGTTATAGCAACAGTTATTTAGATAAGTTTAAGGCAATATATCATACAGTTGATATTGTCGGCTCCGTGTGGCATTCTCTGAATTCTATAACAGTCAGGTTTATTTCAAACGTCTAGCAAATAGCCTTGTTTCTATTGGTCGGCTGCACAAAAGACGTTAATGAATGATCAGTAATATTTACCGCAACTGGGACAGATAAAGAGGAGTCTTTGTCTCATTCGTGGCGACCAATACTAGAT